ATATATATAAATTTTAGGGTGAAAATACCCTGGATCCTCAACCAGAATAAATTCTTATTTCCTTAATTCCAGAATCATACGTTACACAGCTTTCATGCTGATGTGCCTGGTCTGGAGTAGGCACTTAATTCATGGTGATGAGATTATTGGCATAAAATTCTGTTTAGCCTTTCTGACCTGTAGGAATTTGTAACTTTTATCAGTATTAGAAATGAATTAAGCTGATTACATTTTTATATTTTTCTAATTAAACCAACTTTATCTTCTAAGCCTTGTTAATCTTATCTGTATCATTGCACTTAACACATCATAGCTTTATATGTGTCTGCCTCTCATGTAAAGCTGTTGGATTCTTGAGAGTAGGAGCAATGTATTGTGTCCTGGTACATTTTTAGGAGCTCTATAAACATATATAAATGAATGAATGGTATCAGGACTCTCTTATATGTAAAAAGTAGGCTGAAAGGAACTTTTATTTATACCTGTTTACTTTAAATAAAAAAAATAAAGCTGTGACATAATATTGGTAACACAGGACTGAGGGTCAGAATTCCTAGATTCAAATTCTAGCTGACCACCTATCAGCTATTTTCTTTGAATAGGTCACTTAAGTTCATTCAACCAATTTCTTCAAATACAGATAATATTCTCTGCTGCACACAGTGGTAATAATGGTCTAATAAAATTACAATTCTGAAATATATAATAGCTTTTCCTAGAGAAGGTGATTAAGGCCTATTTATTCAGTCTGAATCAATAAGTTGTTGACCAATGACTGGATAAAGATGAAAGAATCTCCACAGAGATAGGGTCAGTGCCAAGAAGCAATGTCCTCTCACCTCCAGGTTGCTTAACCCTGGAAAAGGCCACTGAGTAAGATGGTGAAATTTCACACTTTAAGACATTTTCTTGCTCTTCAATAACAGGAAATGACTGAATGACCTCTGAAAGGACTGACCCACCATATATTCTATGACTCATGGAAGAAGACACAACTTGTAGATAAATCAGGAGAACCTTCTTTTCCATTGTGCCAAAGATTAAAAGCATAAGTTTGGAAATGTCAAATCTAAATAAAAAATCTCTTTATTCTTTGGTCAATACAAGGGAAATGCTCATCTCTTAAGCTTTTAAAATTAACCACATCCTTTATGCAATGTGCATGCATCAAGGGTTAAGGAGCAGTAGAGAGATGGAGTTTTAATTTTTACCAATTCAATTTAAATGCAAATGTTAATCATCACATGATGCCACTGTGTACATAATTAAGCATCATTATATACTGCATGAATCACTTAGCAACTTCCCTAGAGCCATTCTACTATGGAAAACATACATTATACTGACAAGCAGCCAAATGACGTATCCTTCTGTCCTCATTAATGCTCCTTTTGAATTATAGGTCAACCGATTATGGGACAACCTATGAGAAGCTGAATGATAAAGTTGGGTTGAAAACAATTTTAAGTTATCTCTACGTTTGTCCTACCAACAAGCGTAAGGTAAGAAATGTATATTCAGCATGCTACGTAGTCATGATATGATTTCTGTTTTGCTTGACTAACCTCTCTAGCCACCTAAAAATCCATTACAGTTAAGCTTTAAGAGATGTATAGATGAGCTGATGAACGTTAAGGTGGTAAAATGTCTGACATTGTAATTTTCAGATCAGCAGCTGTGACTGTAGGAGGGCAAGGTGTAGGTATATCATTACCATTTTCAAAAGGCAACTACAGGCAATGAGTCTTGTTAGATGGAGGCTGCTGACTCTCTCATAAGACCTCTGACCAATCAGCGATGAGAATCAGAATGAGCCTTGACAAAAAGATGGGATTTTCATCTGATGTCCCCCCGTTTTCCATTGACATGGAGTAAATAAATGAACTAGAATGGAAGTGAGTACATTGTCACTATAGCAGGTTGGAAGTTTTATTTCTAAAGTTTATGCAACCTGCATACAAACGCCAGGATGGAGTTACTGCTGAAATGAACCCGGTAGATCATCATATAGCACACCCTAATTTTACAGGTGAGAAAACTAAGGTTTAAAGAAAAGAAGTGGTTTGCTCTCATGGCAGAGTTATGGGCACAGTTGGGACTAGAATTCAGGTCTCTTGGTTGACAGTCATAATACAATATACTGCTCCTATTACTCTTCCAAGAGAGATATTTTCTTAGGAAGAAAATGTTTGCTGTTAAATAAGAAAATTTCAGATATGTCAGTAGTGACTGTTAATGGCCTTGGGCAGGGTCTTCATTTTGTTACCCAGACTGTGGAAGGTGGATGAGAACAAGTCTAAGCAGTTATCTTCAACACTGGCTGCACATTCAAAGCACTAAGTGGTCCCCAAATGTCCAAGCCCCGGTCCCATCCTATTGCTCTGGATTAGGGCTCAGGTACCTTGAGCAAACTCCCCAGATGCTTCTGGTTTGTGTCTAGGATGAAGAACCACTTATGCAAAGTATAATGTTCCCTGTGACTCTAAACATGTCAAGTTCTTCAATAGGAGCAGCAGAACTTGCCAGGTGCCCATACACTCTGGTCTGATGGCTGGAGTAAAAACCCAGCTAAGCCAATTAGCAAGTGTACAACTATGGTGATGTTCTTTCTCTCTCCAAGCACAGTGTCATCAAATGTAAAATAGAGGATAATTATAGGACATACCTCAGGAGGAGAATTGTGAATATTATTTGAAATAAGTCATTTCCAGTGTTTAGCACAGACTAGTTAAGCTTAATCAATGTTTTCTCTTCCTTTTGTTCTTCTTTTCTCACCTTCTTTTTCCTCCTCCTTCATATAATTATTGGAGGTCACAATAGTGATTATCCTCTATAAATAGCAGTGTTCATTAGAACTTTCTTTAGTGATAGGAATGGTTCTCTAAGCTGTCCAGTTCTGTAGACAGGAACCACTTGGGGTCTTGAGTATTTTGGAATATGGCTAGTGTGACCGAGGAACTGGGTTTTACATTTTATGTAATGTTAATTCATTTAAAGGCAAGTACCCACATGTGGCTGATGGCCACAGTATTACACAGCACAGTTTAATAATGTCATCTTCAATATTGAGAGATAGACCCTGAACATTCCTATCACCCCCTTACTGGCTGATTATTGGCCCATCATCAAAAATTAGATATAAACAATTTTGATCTGCTGTATATAGAACTAAATTGAGGAGCTGAACTTATATTCTCTAAAAAATATTTTTATCAATTTAAGAGAGGAAAGGAGAGGGAGAGAAAGAAATACCAATGATGAGAGAGAATTGACTGCCTCCTGCATGCCTCACACTGGGGATCCAGCCCACGATCCTGGCATGTGCCCTGATCGGTAATTGAACCATGAGCTCCTAGTTCATAAGTCGACACTCAAACATTGAGCTACACTGGCTGGGCTATCCTTTATTTTTATGATGAGCTTTAGTTATTTTGCTTGGCTTTGAATCAATTCTTGTAAACCCTATTGGTTTTTCCTCTAGTTCACATTTTTAATAAATTTTGTTTAGCAATCAACAAACTGTAAGCACCATAGGCTGCAAAGAGAAATAAGCCAGCATTCCACCCTCAGAGGTCCTGTATTTTCGTAATAAATGGAACATGACATTTTTGTCATTGAAAGTTTCCTCGAGAATATTTCCACCTTGCAGGTGACTGTGGGTGAGTCATTTACATTTTCCCTTTGTAAACTGATCTAGGCAAAACAAAGAAATTTACTAGAAGAGGTCTGAGAATTGTTCTAATCTAATGATGTCCATTAGAAGAAAATATGATTTAAAATTACAAGATTTTGCCCAGCCAGCGTGACTCAGTGGTTGAGCATTGACCCATTAACCAGGAGGCCGTGGTTTAATTCCTGGTCAGGGCACATGCCCAGGTTGCCAGCTGGATCCCCGTGCAGGAGTCAGCCAGTCGATGATTCTCTGTCATCATTGATGTTTCTATCTCTCCCTTCCTCTCTGAAATCAATAAAAATATAATTTAAAATATATAAGATGTCAAATGTCATAAGTAAGCATAGTCTTTTCATTAGCATCAGAATAGGCGATGACCTAGAGATTCCGAGATTGTTTGCAGGAGCAGGACTTGAAGAGTGAGGCTCTGAAGTCCTGAGGTAGGTAGCTCCTGAGACTGTAAGGAAAGCTTAGACAGCATACAGCAAGGTGCCCTGCCATGGAGTCCACTCATGTCAGTACCCTGGTCTCACTCCCACTGCACCTGAATCTAGAGCTATCTGGAGGACTTTAGAGAGGGCGTTTGGCCAAGGGCGTTTTGCTGAAAGGAAGACTTGGCCAACCCTAAGTCCAGAGAAAGAGAAGGGGTTGCCCATGACTGAGAGATAATGGTTTCCTCTGGGACAGCTCCATTCCAGAAGCAGAGCCAGGCCTGAGCTGTTTAAACCATATTTATGGGAGAACCTAAGAGAAGGGTTTGCCTCTGTTCCTCTACAGATAACCGAGGCCTTCAGGGTCACTTTCTGTGATGTTGATAGATTTAAGAAATTTTGCAGGGGATTGTCAAGGGTGGGGGGAAAAAAAGGACACATATGTAATACCCTTTGTAATACTTTAAGCAATAAAAAAAAAAGAAATTTTGGAGGACCATGAAGATCTTTCCAGTGGTTCAGAAATCAATAAAGTTGATATAGCAGTATATTTGTGTCCAGTTTTTCTACTTATGAAGTGAATTCATCACTATGAAATACGTATTTCTTCCCCCAAAGGGACATACTTGGACCAGAGATAAAAATGTACCTGCACATTTTAAAGTGTGAATATATTTCCCCAATCAGTGAAGATTTAGATTAAAAAAGAGGGGGGAGAAGAAAGAGGAAAAGAAAAGGAAAATATCAAGCTGTATTGATTATGCAGGACAAAGGCCCTTAAGTTCCTTCCAATTCCCCCAGGACTTCTGCGCCCTCCAGTGAAGAGGCAGGCTCCTGTAAAGGGTTGTGTTAGTTCTTTGAGTTCCCTAGGGAGCTCCGAAACCAGGGAACATCTTTTGTACCAGATATTTCTATTTGCTTTTCATATCTGTGGGAGCCACTGGAATAAAACTGACAGCAGGGTCACTGCCTTGCGGTCCCAGAAACCTGTTTTGCCTTCCTGTTCTCATTGCTATTTTTAGCTGCTCCTGAGGACCAGTGGGGTTCTTCAATCACCCGGTCTCAGGCAGCAGGCCTGCCCTGGCTTTGCAGGCAGTTTGTTAGGGGCGTTCCTGGGATCAGAGTCCAGAACAAAGCAGGCCCTTATTTACAGTTTAAATTGATGATCGTCCACTGGCTGTTTCGCTGCAAGCCTGCTGTAAATTATAGCAGCTTTCCCTGGATGGGTCGGTTACTGTGAAAACTGTAATCTCGTCATAGGTCAGGATAGGAAATCTTGATTCAGAGACATAGAAAGGCTGCTGCCAGGTATTATCCTAGCAGTATATTTGTGTACAGTTTTTCTACTGATGAAGTGAATTCATCACCATGAAATACATATTTCCCCCCCAAAGGGACATACTTGGACCAGAGAAAGTCCCTGCACAACATTTTAAAGTGTGACTATATTTCCCCAATCAATGAGAATTTATATTAAAAAAAAAAAGGGAGGGAGGGAGGGCCCAGCCTGCATGGCTTAGTGGTTGAGTGTCGACCTATGAACCCGGAGGTGACGGTTCAATTCCCGGTCATGGTCAGGGCACATGCCCAGGTTGCAGGCTCGATCCCTGGTGGGGGGCATGCAGGAGGCAGCCGATCAATGATTCTCATCATTGATATTTCTGTTTCTCTCTCCCTCTCTCTTCCTCTCTGAAATCAATAAAATATCTGCATGGCTTAGTGGTTGAGTGTCGACCTATGAACCCGGAGGTGACGGTTCAATTCCCGGTCATGGTCAGGGCACATGCCCAGGTTGCAGGCTCGATCCCTGGTGGGGGGCATGCAGGAGGCAGCCGATCAATGATTCTCATCATTGATATTTCTGTTTCTCTCTCCCTCTCTCTTCCTCTCTGAAATCAATAAAATATGTTTTAAAAATAAAACAAGGTGGGGGGGGCGGGGAAGACAGAGGAAAAGAAAAGGGAAAAGATCAAGCTCTATTCATTATGCAGCACAAAGGCACTTAAGTTCCTTCCAATTCCCCCCAGTATTATCTTATACTGCCTTCCAGAAGGAACCCTGCACCTGGCCTCTGATGTAGAAGATGGGCTCAAAGGAACAGGGATGGGGTGGATCCTAGTGGCAAAGGATAGGCAGGCTTAGCTGTCTGTCCTGTATCTCCAAAGGAGAGCATTCTACCCCTCCCCCCTCCGGACTTCATGGTAAATCCCAATGCTTGTTGGTGTCAGCAGTGGTTTGTTGGGTACACACATACATATAATCTCCTATGAGAAAAGATGATTTAACCGATGCCCGAAATAAACAGCTGGGTTGTAGAGGGTAAATGAGAAGAACAATTCATATGTAGCAAAGAAAGAAAAAATCAATGCAGAAAGCTCAGCCTCCTTTTTAAATTCTC